CCTGCTCCTCCCTGTGGCTGCGCTCAGGAACTCAGCGCTTCCCCAGCACAGGGCCTTAATTTGGTAGCTAAACTCATTCAGAGATCCTCATTATTGTCCCTTTTAGGCAGTTTCTGTCCCATTAAGTTACAACAAAATGCATTTTGTTAACATCAGAACTGGTTTTACAGCTACAAGTGGCAGCAAGGGGCGGCTCTGCAAAGGCACTGCTTTAACGGTCGACCTCCGATGCCAAAACAAGCAGCACCACAGCTAACAAGACATCTCTTCTTCTCACCCGTGAGATTGTGGAACTCATCAGGTAGTTTTACATAACGTGTAGTACTATAAAGTGATAACATCTAAAAGGCTGACTTTTGGGTGGTGTCATGTACTTTGGCACGGTGTTCCTCAGACTGCCGGATCTCTCTATTTTGCAACAGTTTGTTCAAAGCAAGTCCTGGAGTTGCCATGCTCTGATGTTTATTTTCTATAAAAACATGGGAGGCTTTCCAAAGTGTAGCTGAACTTCTGCTAAAAAAAATATTTGAAAAAACAATGGCAACTGGGCACCTAATTCCAAATCCTACTGAAATTAAATTCAATCCCCATCATGTCCTACGAAGACTTTGGACCTAGGCTGGCAAATGACACTACTCTTGCAAGTCAACAGGCAATTGTAGGTGTGTGGAGAACAGGCTGCAGAGACCTATGCTCTACAAATACCCCAACCCTTTTGCTATCAGCAGGCACGATAAACATCGCTGCCTGAATAGGGTTACAGAAAGAATAAGAAACGTTAGTTTTGTAACATGTTTTGTTTATTAAACTCAGTTTTCACTGATGTCCTGAGCTGACAAAAATGTTTCCCAGGAAGACTGACAAACAGAAACAATTAATAAATACAGAGAGATATATATCTCTCTATCTCTTTCAAACACTGTAGGTATAAACAAATAAAAGCTCTGTTTTGCTATTTTGGGAGGTCCTATATAACCAGTATTTTCAACTGGCCAATTAGCAGCACATGTGTTAACCAGTGAAGAACTTCCACTTGTTTTTAAATGATCAAATCCAGTGTTTTAAAGTTATTGCTCATTATCAGACAAAAAAACAGGATATAAAGGGTGTTCATTAACGATCTTCATTAACAGCAGGGATGGTATATATTGACAGTACATGCAGCTTTATAGTGGGGTTTTTTAATGCAATCGAGACCAAAGCTTTCAGAAGTGAACTAAGATATTAGGCAACCGATCAGAGGATATTACAGGAGCCAAATTCTCAGCAGGGTTGTCCTTGGCGCCTTTATAAAATCCCCCTTCTTTTAAGATGTCAGGCTGAGCACCCCTGACACAAACGCCTCCAAACTACTAACGGCAGGGACAGGGCACCCAGCTGCAGCACTGCTCCGAGGCTTTGCCACCCCGCGCTAGCTCTGCTCCTGGCTCTTTGTCGAATTCCCCAGGACCTGCCTGGTGGGGCTGCCATGGGCTGGGGATGAGGAAGAGGACCACTGCACAGAGAAACATCTCGGAGTTGTAGACGACTGAGGTATTTTTCCTCCCTTGCTGGTCCTCCAGGCTAGCAGGGTCAAGGGAAGGGACAGTGGCAGGTACCAGCAGAAGGTAGAAACGTGGATTTCCTCACAGCGCTTGTAACTAGAGGCATCTCAACTTTTGCAGCTACTGCTAGCAATGCCTTGCATGGTAGATTCCGCCCATGCCTATCGCATACACTACTTGGCTAGCAGTCTCCCACCGGGGCTATGCTACAGCAGTTCTTGCTGCCTTCTGCTTGGGAGGACCTTGGGGCCAGCATCGGCCTTTCCATGCCCTGCTGGTGGGGCACAGCTCGCTGACCTCCTTGCTCTGCTCCGGCCGGCCCACTTGCTTCTCTGCAGGAAAACAAGGAGCAGCACTACTTGGGCTAACCCCTTGGCCAAGGAGCCTGGTCCCAGAGGGAAAGAAACCCACTGTCCATCTCACACCAGCGAGACATGTTCTTCAGGGCATCATGACAGAGATGCACTGC